AATATATAAATACATAAAACCTTAATTAAAAACATTACTAAAAAGGAGAAGGAGAGTCCAAAAGGATGAAAAATCATAATCCTGAGATCCTAAAAGGCTTCTATAAGTCACTCTGGGCTAAACGGACGAATAGGTTAACTTGGTATAGGCAGTTTCCATAGTTTCTCTGAATGATGTAAGAGTCTCCTGTTTTCACTCAAGAAGTAGGGATGCTTAAAATTTACAAAATACTGTATATGCATTAACTGCTCCTTCATCTGGGTACGTTTGTGATTGTTTGAAAGGGTTTTCAAAAGATACACTCTGCTTTTTCAGACACTTAAGTTTATAGCACTTAATATAGGAATAATAGTTATAAGGGTTCCATGCTTTAGTCCACAGCCAACATCTATTATTTTGGCCCCAATTTCTAACAGCAATGAAAGCCTTTATCCAGTTGTAACACAGCTGAGGCTTACTTACCTGGAGATGGCTTCGACACAAAGTCAAAGGTAAGGACATTTGGGATTCTCAGAGCCAGCAGATGGAGCACCACACTGGCCAAGTTACACCTGCAGAAACAAAGAAAGGTTTTTTATAATTCTACAAAATCAAGGTGAGACACAATATACCAACAGAGAAATAATTCATGTACTGTAGCTAGCAATAATGACTGTTGCACCAGATGTGTGGCTTTCAATGCCCAGAATTTCTTAGCCAGAATGGTTGTTTTTGAGAATTCTGGGAGTTGAGATCTGGAGGGCTCTCCTGGGTGAGAAAGGATGCATTATGGTTTATCTTCTACTTCCTCATCTCTTTATAGAGGATACAGGTAGTCCCCAGTTTAAGAACAAGTTCTGTTCCCAAAGTCTGTCCTTAAGTCAAATTTGTATGTAAGCCGGAAAGTATTATTTATAATACTGTATAAGTAGTATTGTGTAATTAACTTGAACCATTGTGCATTTAACTTGAATTTTGCTACAATAGGCTCTCTTCTTAACTATGGGTCATCCATAAACCGGGCGTTCTTAACCCAGGGACTACCTGTATAGCTCAAAATCAGAATCTAGTATTTCATGTCTGAGAAGACACAGAGGATTGGGGTGAAATTGTTTGTATTTAGACAAGTTCACATGGGATTAAGTGGTCTCCTAGGATGCTTAGGTTCTGAGTCATGCAGAGGTACAAAGTTTAAAACCAGCACTTTTGAGTTCTTCAAGCAGCAGAGGAAAGCTGAATAACAAATAGCATCAAAGGTAAGGACAAATTTTTTGAAGCTTCATTCTGGTCAAGAAACCCAACTTGTCTCATTATCCACTGCCCATCTCTATGTATTGATACAATGCCTATGAAGGGCTGCCATTCTGGAAGCCTGCAATGAGCCTTTCTCGCAAGAAACTGAGACTTCACCTTTGGATTTCTGGTACTGTCATTTTATCAAACTTCTCAAACTCATCTTCTGTGTAGAGGCGGTAACAAAATCCACTATCCTCTCTCCCAGCTCGACCAGCCCGTTGCCAGGCCTGGGCCTTTGAGATCCGCTGCACTGCCAGGACCTCCAAGCCACTTTCTAGGAAAAACAGAAAGAACTCAATTTTTTCTTTCTGAAATGAAATTGCCTGTTGGGGATTTGGATATGACTCCACAGATCTAACTAGACCCAAAATAAGAAACTTCATGCTCTTAAAGTGTTTTGCATCCCAAATCCTGTAAGACCCAGTAAATATGGTCAACAGTCATGAACATCAGGAAGGCTCTAGGATGGTCTAAGTCAACCTGAGAAACATTGATTTGTCCAGCTCAGTATGGTCTATGCCAGGGGTAGGCTGCTTGTAACAGTCCAGATGGTGAACTATTTTTTTTAAACATTTATATGGCCACCCATCTTAAACCAAACTCTAGGTGGCTCACAACCCAAGGATAAGAACAATATATACAAACAATAAAACAAAAGGAGTAAAAACAAAACAAACAAACAAAAAAGAGAAAGACCTGGCACCACAGCTAAACTTGATGCAGCCCACAACACATTCCTCCCATGCCAGTCTCACCCTATGCCAGTGCTCGGGGGAAAAGCCAGGTCTTAAGCATTTTTCGAAAGGTTAAAAGTGTAGAGTAATTAGAATTGCAATTTACAGTGGCTCCAGTCAATCTGGCTAATGGTGAAGAGTGATGGGAGTTATAGTTTGGCAACTTCTGGTATGCCACAGGTTGCTGACTCATGGTCTACTGCAGTGTTTCTCATGCTGGCTGGGGAATTCTGGGAGTTGAAATCCACACATCATAAAATGGCTAAGGTTGAGAAACACTGGCCTACAGTGACAGGCAAGAACTTTCCAAGATTTCAAGCACAGACTTCTCCAGCCCTACAAAGACATTTACCATGAAAACTTACACTCTCTCTGAACTACATACTCCTAGAATGTACTAATATTGACTTTTCTGGATTGAGAGACACACTTGCCTTTGTTTCCTATGCCAAGGACCATAATTCAAAAATGAAGTGGAACCAAAATTAAAACAAAAACAAAAAACTGGGTAGAGCCTGGATTAAAAATAAATTAGATTTAAATTAAACATTTGACTATGTTTAATATGCTTCTTCCCTATATTTTCCCTCACCTTAAAAATTACAGTTTTGGTGGGCTCTGAGTATGGGACCCAAGAATATGGGGAGCCACAAGCAGCCTTCAGACCTGAGGTTTTGGACCCACAACTTAAAGTTAAATGGCTATATATATTCATATGATTTGCTGGATACTGTTTATAGCTTCACATATCTTTGGCTTTCAAAAGACTTTCAGTTGGTGCTGGCACTCCTAAACTCCACCTCATTATTTTCATTTTGGAGCAGAGAATGGGAGTGGAGAGAAGTTACTCATTTAAAGCCTTTGAAAAGTTCTGCCTTGGGCCAGGCTGATGTAAGATGCTTGGGAGCTTCAATCTTCCAAAGCTCTTCTCCCTCCCCCTCCTAATTAATATATAGTAAATCATGACTTCAACATATCCTTGTATGTGCAGGATAATCTCTTGAGCAGCAGAACCCTCCGTATCACATCTATTGTCTGTAACAGTGCCCAGGACCACCACCCAAGCCGCACCCCCTCAGTAATCTCTATGCAGGGTCAACTACTACATATACATACGAGGTGTATATTTCTTTGCTTTGACCATCCCTGTGTCCACAACATATTTTATGCCTGCAATGGTGATGGAGGTCTCTGCAATGTTGGTGGAAAGAATCACTTTGCGATAACCCTGGTAGAAACAGAACATTTCTAGATTTGTTAGCTTTTCTACAACATTCAGTATTCAAAACAAGCAAAAGTAGATAACAAATATTGAGAAGAATCAGAAAGTCTCCCTGTTTTGGGTGCAATGCTGTAGGCACTCCAAAAGGACCTTTTCAGTTGTGGAGGCTCAAATATACAATACCCCTGCTCCCCACCCCATGGGTGGCTACAAGAAAAAGAGCCTTAGCCATGAGCATCATTTGTGGAAATCCTTCCATGGGGAGGCACAGACATGTCTCTTTACTGATGTCAAGACATGATATCCTCTTTGCCTGGACATTTTTCTTGTTAGAATATTTCTAAGTAGGGCATTCATACTTTTCTGTGCTGCTTAAGATATTTCATTGCTTTGCTTTACTGTTTTTAATGCTTTAAATCATTTGATATTACTTCTTAAGAACTCGCTTATTGGGGAGATTACAAATAGAATCAAGAACAATTGAATTAGAAAGAACTTTACTGTCGTAGGCCTTTTCAGAATGGTTTTGAAGGGTCTCCAAAAAGGAGGAGAATGGGCCATGCACAATGTATGGCTTTAAGACCACACATATAGAACCACACATATAGTAACCACTGCCACTAAATTATAATTTTAATGCAGCAAAAATTGTCAAATATTTGGGAAGTAAACATGTTAAGTCAAGTGTCTTCTGAGTCACGCTTGACTCCCGTTGACTAAATGGACAGATATGGAAGCCACTGTTTTCTTCTAGGGGTATATTTTTCAAATTATATTTTTCAACTCAAAATATACCTACAGCCCTTGGATTTTCTGGTGGTCTCTTATCCAAGTACTAACTAGAGATGACCCAGTTTAACTTTCTGGCATCAATCAAGGTTAGCTAGGCGCTGTCATTCAATGGAGCCAAGCATATCAATTATATTTAATTTGATACAATTTAACTTAATTCAAAATTAAATTAAAATGTAGTTGCTATTTTGGCTTGTTTTTTTGGAATGCACCCCTGTCATGACATATAAAGACTAAAGTTATGCATCCATTATCTATCTATGAGCTATCTATGCCAATAGTTCAAATGAGCACTTCAGCAGAATTTATTTTTAAGATCAGCACTGTCCATGAAGAGATTGGAAATCAAGCTTATCTTGAAGGAGAGTTTACATTTTCACTGTGATTCCCACAGCATTGTTCTGGTTCTCACCTTGGGTGCAACGTGGAAGACCCGGAGTTGCTGTGAGTAAGGCAGAGAAGCATAAAGGGGCATGATCACCATCTGAGGGCAGCCATCAGGAAGATGCTTGGCAATGTCCCGACAAGTTTTGGTCATTGCTTCAATCTCTTCCTGGCCTGTCAGAAACACCAGGATGTCCTGAGAATAAGGTGCTTCCTTTACAGAAAAAACACAGAGACATTTACATTAATCTTACAGGTGAGGCCCTTAGCTCAATGGCAGAACACTCTAGATTCAAAAGCACAGAAGATCCAAAAGCAACTGATTTTTCAGCTTAGCCGAAGTTATGGAATAGCCTCACTTTTCTCATCTCCCTCCAGATCGCTTGATGTGCTGGTACTTAAAGCTCTTTGCAGCTTGAGGCCTAAACACTTCAGAGTTTGCCTCACCATATCATAGTCCTGTTGCAAACAGTCTGTATTCTAAGTGTTGTCTCCCCTAACCAAATGAATTACTACAAGGAGCAGAGACTTTATCACAGCTGCTCCAAATATTCAGGATGCCCAACCCAGTAAAGTTTGGACCTGGTCTGCTTTCTCTGTTTTCTGTTAACATAAGAAACACTACACTTATTTTTAAAAGCATGTGGGCAATTATTGTTCCATGCTACAATTAACCTGGATTTAAAAACCCAGATAACTAGTTTCAAGTGCCTTAGAAGCTTTGGGCTTCTATACTTTTGCAAATAAACACAACTTACTACTAGTCTACACTTGTTTTACAAAGGAGAATTAGAGCCTTCTTTTCCACAGCCAGTATGGAAACACAAGCTGTGAACTTCTTCACAAATTGTTTGTTGTATGCATATGGGTGCATTTTTTTAAAGGGCTCCTTCAAGGGACTGGCAAAGGAAGATTTACTGAAGTCACCTTGATATTTGGAAAAATCAGTTGAAAGTTTTCATGCTTAAAACCTTTTGGGTTTGGGGAAATAACAAAGTAGCAACATTCTTAGTTGCTGATGAGCAAGGGAAGCCCTAATGTATTTATAGGTAGTAGTTAGACCAGGCTTCCCCAACTGGTGGTCTCTAGATATGTTGTACTGCAACTCCCATTATTCCTAGCCTCCTATTTAGATGTGACAGGAATTACAGTTCAACTTGTTTACAGTATCATACATCTGCTTTCAAATTTCCATGAAGCCATAGAGCTTATTGGGTGATGCTAGGCCAGTCTCCATCTCCCCCAGCTTAATCTACCAAACAGGATTGTTGTGATGGTAACAAAGGGAGGAGGAAAAGAGGCAGAAAGAAACTTATACACTATCCTGAGACCATAGGAAGAAGAGCAGAATAAAAATATAGCAGATAAATAAAGAACCAGCCATTGAGATATGAACATATTGAACCCAGTGTTGTACCTGATGGATCTGGAAAACTGTCACTAGCGCTGCTTGGAGGTAATCACTCTGAGATTGCTTTGTGTAGAAAATCTGGATGGGGTGTTGCCTGCCTTCTAGGTAGAGAACTGGTGCTCCATTGAAGTACTGGGAGAACAAGTCAACATCCATAGTAGCTGACATGACAATCACCTGTAAAATGTTGGGTTGTAACTAAGGACTGCTCTTGACTAGAAGTGAGATTACAGTAAGGGAGGCTTGCATTTTCATCTGCACAATGTAAGCTGTAAATACTTTATTCATTCATATAAGCGATGAAGGCTTTTTAACTCAGGTTCCATGTACCCCTTGCTTGCCTTCATTTTTCACATGGGATTGGGGTGGGATGCATCCAGGAATTCAATAGTGGCAGCATTTTCAGTCAGTTCATTGAGATCAATTAATGCCTAACAGATTTCTTACATTTTACTTTTTTTCTGAAGTATGAGTAAATATTACAAGCATCTATCTTATTTTTTTCATTCAAAGCCAAAGGCTTTTTTAAAAAGTTGTACTGAGTAACATTCAGCCCTTCTTGACTGTACTATAACTGACATTGAAAATATCTGATAAACAGAATATTTGTTTAAACAGTATTGCCACAAATGCAAGTTCCTGTTTTGGACTGCTTTTCACTTTCCCCTGCAGCCAACCAGAAGATTTACGCCTTTGTAATTTTTGTTAAGTCAGGAAAAAAAAGCCCTATAACAGCCTCCAACCAGGCTTCAAGTCTTATTAGCCCTAGCTACCCCTCATCTTTCCTCTTCTGTGTTCAGCACTCACTTTCAAGGGTAATTTCCCAAGCTCCTTCCGTTTCTTTTGGGCTGCTTTCACCACGCCAAAAAGCACATCTGTGTGGATTGTCCTCTCATGTGCTTCATCCAAAATGACCACACTGTATTTATGCATAAGAGGGTCCCCAATGGCTTCTCGAAGCAGCATTCCATCTGTCAGGAACTTGATTTTTGTCTCATCAGAGGTGAGATCTTCAAAGCGCACTGTGTAGCCAACCTAAGAAGAGAAGCCATTGGAATAAAGAAGAGGTTAGCCATGTGACAACCAGTTACAGCCAGCTTTAGTTTTGCTCAAGAGACTTTCTTAAACCACCACTAAATAAGCACAGTGGGGTAGTTAAGAACTGCATATATGTTGGCCCTTTGAGGTTGTCCAGACAAAAAGCACCAACCATGAGTACAAACACTACCTTCATTGTAATGTTATAGTAACAGAATCTTGGAAGTCTGAATGTATCTCTCCCCTCCCTTACTTTTACTCTTTCAAAAACTAGGGAGGGTCCCTTCTGAGATACTTTCTCCACCCTCATCCCTCCTTTGGACTCAGATTTCATTTATCAGACCCCTGTCTAGGTTGCGGCTCTTCCTCCTGTCTCCCAAGGTCATTCCCAAGTATCATTACAATATATTACAGATGTAAAGTGGAGGAAAAAGGGTGACACAAGAGATAGCCTACCACCAAAAAACTCGAATGAAGAATGAATCAGGAAGAGCTGGGTTCAAATCTCATTAAATAAACTTAGATAAAAGATCAGAAAGACAATCTACCCACATGTGTGTATTTGTTCTATCTATAAATAAAAACTTCTTATATCTGGTCCCAACCAGAACTCCTATATCCTGCTCCCCACCTCTGGTCCCAGAATGTATAATTTTTTAAGCTGTCATATATTTGGGCAAATTTCATGTAATCCTCTTCAAACCAGCCTTGCTTATGGAGATAATCAAAGAGTTTATTTCACAAAATTTAATTTCTTTGAAATATTTTCCATCTATTTTATGAATAAAATGGGAGTGGAATGTTTAACATTTCATTACTTCTTGATGAGCAGCAAGTTCCCATAAAGAAACTAATTCCTACTTCTCTCCCATTTCACCATTACTTTGATGCTAATTGTGCTTATGCTAATTATAGTTAATATCACCTAGGTTGCATTGTTATTATGATTTACAAACCTTAGTTTTAACCTTTATGTCTGGGAAAATTACTGTTAGTTAAAATGGACCATAGTTGGCATGCTAAACCAGGGGTTGGCTACTTGCAGCTTTCAGTCTATTTCACAAACCCTCTGCAAAGCATCAGTTCAAGGTTCTAATAAGATTGCAGCTTGGGAGAGAGAGAAGAGGGTGTCAGAACAATAGAAACAGAGAAGGGGGGGTCCAAAAAGAAAAAAAATCTACATACCAATTTTCCTAATTCAGTTTTCTTCTCATCCGAGACTCGGGTAGCCAAGGATATAGCAGCCACACGGCGAGGCTGGGTCACAGCAACTATTCCTTGGCGCCCAATTCCCCCCTCATAGAGATACTGTGGAATTTGAGTTGTCTTTCCAGAACCTGTTTCCCCTACAAATTATTAAGCAAACAAATGTCATTTTTTTTACATGTTAAATATATCTGATCATTCCCCAATTGGGTATCTCCACTATTTATCCTAATAGAAAATAAAACAGAGGTGTTTCCTGAATTCATTTAATAAACCAGTGGTCTCAGTCAGCTTTCTCCAACCTGGGCACCACCATACAGTTAAAATTCTCAGCAATAGTCATTTTCACTAGGGAATTGTTGGCTTTTAAGTCCATCCATTTGGAGGATACTCATGTTGTGGATACTAGTAAACATGTTCACCAGAACTTACCTCTAAGCAAATACTGTGGAACTGCAGCTTTAAAATAAAATTATTTTACCTGCTGCTCTTCAAGCATATCAGAACACTGAGAGCCACTTTGGCGTAGTAGTGAAGGTGCTGGGCTAGAAATCAGGAGACTAAGTTCTACACCTCTCTTAGGTATGAAAGTCGGCTGGGTAACTTTGGGCCAGTCTCTCTCTTCCAGTCTAACCCACCTCACAGGGTTGTTGTGGGGAAAATAGGTGGTGGGAGTATTAGGTATGGCTGGTGTGGGTCTTCCGGGCTGTGTGGTCGTGTTCTTGAAGTTCTGTTTCCTAACGTTTCGCCAGCACCTGTGACC